TTTTATCAAAGTTAAAGTCAAAAATTAATTTTAACCATATATTTTATGATATTCACAATTTTTCAACCACACATTTCCTCATTAATTTTTATCAAAACTTGCTAAAAATCTAATTTTAATATTAACCATACAAGGGCTAAATTTGGTTAAAATAATCAATTTTTAGCCGGCAGCCAATCTTTTACCGTTTGTGTTGAAAGTGTGGTACGTGATTTATGAGATAAGTGTCAAATTTTCATTATATATAAGGAATACAACCGAAGAGAAATTGCGTACAATTATAAAGAGGAAGAGAAGCAGTGAGTTATTTGTCACATATAGTAGAGGAAAAAAGTAATAAGTAGAGAGACACATAAAATTATAGAGAAAAATATATTGATTTCTTTGAGTGTTTCCTACTTAATTTTTCATATTATAAGGGATATTAATTGTTGTTATCTCCTTGTAGTTAAAGAAAAAGTTATTGTAATTCTTCTACTACAATGGAACCCTCCTATACTTGTCTGTGAAAGTAACCTAAAGTGGGTGAATCACATAAATATTTGTGTCCATTCTTAACTACAATTTCACTTTAATTATTACCCAACCTTGACCCACATTTCTCCTAACAACATATTCATCTGAAATTATGTTAAGTTGTCATGTGATCCTAATTAAAACTTGCCTCATTTCAAATTCTAAGCACAGTCCCAAGGAGAAATTTTTTTATCTAGATATGATGTTTCAAAAGAATCAAAACGTTATTGTCGTTCTCTAGTAGTAATACCTACCACTTTATCATAAGCAGTTTTGTACTTCTTATAGAGCCAGCCAGCCAGCCAGCCATCACATGGTGTAATTCCTATTCGTTTGAATTTCTTTTGTTGTAGAATGCCGTTTATTATTTATTGTATAAAAAAATAATGATGTCTTGTCATATCGATATAAGAATTAAAGTATATTATACGTTTGTGACAAAAAAAAAAAAGGGTATGTTATTGAATTTTTCTGTTTGTACAGAAAAATTATGTACTTCAGCCAACCAGCCATCACATGGTGTAATTCCTATTCGTTCCAATTTCTTTTGTCGTAGAACGCCGTTTATTATTTATTGAACAAAAAATAATTATGTCTTGTCATATCGATATAAGAATTAAAGTATATTATACGTTTGTGACAAAAAAAAGGTATGTTATTGAAACAGAAAAATTATGTACTTCATCCAGCCAGCCATCACATGGTGTAATTCCTATTCGTTCGAATTTCTTTTGTCATAGAACGCCGTTTATTAAATTGAATAATTTCTGATCAATAAATAATATAAAACCTAAAAGAGTAATATTGTGACTAAATTTGTAACAATTTGTTAAGTTGTGACCAATTAATTTGATAATTCGTGACCTATTAAATTTGTGATCCGTGATTGAGAGATAATATGTAATCGATAAAAAGTCATGACCTATAAAATTTGTGATCGAGAAATAATCGTGACCTGTTAATTTGATAATTTGTGATCGATAAATAAGTTGTGAGCTATAAATTTGTGACAAAGAAATAATATGTGAGCTATTAATTTAATAATTTGTGATCAATAAATAGGTTGTAGCCTATAAAATTTGTGATTAGTACGTAAATGTGACCATATTGTGACCTAAGTATATTTAACTAATAAAATATATTTATTTAATAATAAAATTTAATTGTGACCCGATTTTTGAAATTTTAAAACAAATTTTTTAATTTTGAAATTGTATCGTTCAAACATCTTAGATATGTAATGTTCCCTTTCGATTATGACCCTTCGATGACTTCAAAATAAGAACATAAATAAATTATAAGAGTTATAATTTATCATTGATCGTAGTGGAATTAATTAATTGGATGGAGACGTGTTAAGTGCGTCATTCGTATTGACGAAGTTTGATTTGAATTAGAACAAAAAGGTAGAATTCTTTTAGGTTATGCGGTGTTTCCATATCCAAACTAAAAGGAAGAGTTCTTTTAGGATCATGTCCATATTACAAGTGTAATTAGGATTTTCTAGTCTACATTTAGGCTTAACTTTTTCTAGAAGCATTGTGCTGTGTCATGAGATGTGTACGAAGCTATATTTTGGTTAATTTTTTAATATTCTTGAATTGTAAGTTATGTTTGTAGCTTGGAATCTGAAACCTGGATGCAGTGAGAAACTCTCCACATATATCAGTTATCAATATGAGGTTTCGACCTGGTTCAGGAAGCTGGGGATAATTTTTTCTTGGGTTTGTTTAATGTTTATTCATACAACCTAAGTCTGGATTTTCGCCAATTTTCCAGCTTTGTACATGATATATATATCTTCTATTATTATTATATATTAAAAGTGGTTATGTAACGGAATTTCTTGTTTTTAACGGAAAAACTAACGGAATTTCTTATTTTAAACAGGCAGCTGCACCTTCTTTCGGTATTTTTATCATAACTTTGTATTCAGATGTCCGATTGAGGCGATTCAAAATGAGTTGGAAAGCTAACTCATCTGGCTACAACTTTGATTTAGATATCATTCTCCAATTCGATCACTTTCTATGCCAAAAATAGGTCTCAATATAAGACTATAATAT